CAGATATTTTCCTCCTTCTTTCAGATTCACTGTCAGTGGTTGAAATCTCAAGAGGAGAAGCCACCACGTCGTGGACCCTCAAAGCAAAACTGTCATCATCAAGAATGTTCATTACTACAGGAATGTTGTGATCACCTTGTCCGTTGATGACAGTGTCCAACACTGTTCTACCAGTGTTTACAGTAGACTTGTTTGTGAGTATCACAACAGCATTACCTTTCATCAAAACTGGTTTGGGTAAAAGGATCTCGTCACGACCAGGAAAGAAATTGACGAAATGGTGCCTCACATTGACCTTCTTCGGTGTGCCCACCTCTCTGAAGATCGCCTCGAGTTTTCCCCGGTAAACATCCCTGTAAACACAAAGGTACTGTGTTTAATGACATGGTTAATTGTATTAAATGCTAACTCATTGCTTATCTCTTAATTGGCAGATGAGTAAACTTTAATTTGTTTCCTTGTTTGTTGTTCATAGCCGCACTGGGCAGTGGACGACCTATGTGACAGCAGGCTGTGAATAAACCGAGTTTGGGCCAGACGATCCAGTGATTGACATCATAAGCATCGATCTACGATGGCACGCATCGATCTCCGATGCCATCCAGTTCAGTAAGCCTGACCACCCAATATATATATATATACAAGATACAGAATACAGAACCACACAGTTCTTTTGATTTAAACATTCGTTTTCATGAAAATAGTCATGAATGAATTGACCAACAAACATATTTGAAGGCTACTCCCATATACAAATACATGTACAAGTAAATACAGAAACAGGTGACACAATAATGATACAATTCTTATTTATCAGATATCAAGATAAGGATAATGCATGAATATAATTCGTTTGTTTGGCAGTCAATATCGAGGTATTTATGAAATATCAAATCGTTCAGGTTTTATTTTGTAATCATGAATAGAATTCAATAATTTGTGTAGATGATTGCCAGTGAGCGATGCACATCCATGTAGTACAGTGTTGATACTAAATCCCTTTAAGTAGAAAGATGATTTTTGTCATAATTCCATGTATTTATTGCATGTTCAGGAATAATGTACAGCATTCTCAGTTGGATGACAACATGAGCTGGAGGGGCTGTCTGTGATATGTCTGTCTAACCTATGGACATTCAAATCACTACAACGGAGCCTGAGGCGATAATGGATGATTTGGCATATTATTGAGTCATAGTTAAGGTAAAAGATAATAGTTTTGTTATTAGGTCTGCATGACGATTTTATTAATCGGGATAAGGTATCGCTATTTTGAATTTCAGTGCTTGGTGAACTCCATAGTTTTTTTGTATCAGGTAAAAATGACCTCAGGCTACCATATGTCGCCGTTCTACATCGAACTGTTCGCACTAATGAATTTCCCCTGAGGTTATAATCATTCGTATTGATATTAGGCGTAGAGGTCACAGAGATATTGAGGCGAGATTCTATTCTTCATTTCATGAAATGTTGTCAGCTTAGAAATACATCTACGTTCTTTTAGCGGGTTTTGGTTAGTTTTTTCATATATCATGTTGTGGCTTGTTGCTCGAACTGCACCACTTATTGATTTCAACGTGTCTGTATTAAATGTTTCTAGTAAGATAGACTGTTCCTGAGTACAGTTGTCCCAAATGTGACCGCCATAATGAAGTATCGGTAAGATAAAAGATTTATAGATAATGTCTAATTCTTTACGTGATAATCGACATTTCAAAGTATTAAGAAGTTAATCACTTGACTAACTTTCTAAATCATAAAGTTTATGTGAATATATCAGTAACAGTTATTTGGAACGGTCAGGCCAAGATGCTTTTTTATTTTCTACGTCTTGAATTATCACACCTTTTATTGTAAGATCTGGTTTGGTGCTTCTGTATAGTTTTCTACTAAACTGTATTGATTTCATTTTGTTAGTATTGAATGCATCCTTCCATTTATTGGCACAATTTTAAATTCTTAATAGGACTTTATTGAAACAGTCTGCATTTCATATCATACTTGTAAATGCCCCAAGAGATTTGTTGAGAGGCCTTAAGAACGATTTCATATATTTCTACATCATTTATTTACGATTGCAAACACAACTCTCATGCGTTGGTGGTGCCAAGGTAAAGCGCATTTTGTATGCACTTATGTGTGAGTGAGTGAGTTTAGTTATAGCACTATTCCAGCAATATCACGGCGGAGGACATCAGAAACTGTACCCATGTGGAAATCGAACCAGGGTCTTCGTATGCACTAATGAATGAACATATTCATGAAAACATGTGGGGCATTGTGGGCATGGTGGGCATGGTGGGCATGGTGGGCAAGCTGTCTAAGGCACCAGGCTAGTGATCCAGCGAGTTTGAGGTGCCGGGATCGAGCCCACCTGAGACCTGTGTAAAAACTTTGGAGTCAATTTTGTGTGCAGACTCTCCCAGTGTTGCCACAACCCCTAGTGTACAGTACACAACCCTGTGCACTTAAAAGAACCCACGAATCCGTTGGTATATGACCAGATGGTGGCCACATGAATACGTGCAAACACCTAGTTGCGGGTACAGCAACGTACAGTAAACTTGGACAAAATACTGTGACTATGTGTCCCAGTCCACCCAGCTGTGAATAGGTACCTCGTAAGGATGAGAAAGCCGCAATAATTGAGATTGATAATACGATGTGCCGTTGAGATTGACATCCAGTGATCGAGGGGAAAAATACCAGCACCTTGAGCATGTACTAGTTATGTGAATATGTGCGCTATATAAATATCCTATAATAATAATAATTACAAAACGAGCCTCACCTGAAAGTGTTGTTGATGGAGCCGTAGATCTTGGAGTTTTCAGCCATGCAACTAATGACTGTAACCGTGAAGGTATTACTGAAGTGTTTCATACTCATGTTGGTATAGGTTGAGTTATCTGTAACCAACGGGTCGGTTGTTGCGTCGTTCAGCAGCTTCTACCACCTCAGAGCACTCGAGAGCAGCCAGTCATCGTTTCTTCTGCGGAAGACCTTTAGATAGTCGTGGTCTGGCACTCCCAATACGTGTCAATAATAACGCATCTAATGTTCCTTAACACATAAATATTTTCACGCCATGAAGAGCAAAGCTTTTGGCTTTGTTTTTGGCAGCGGTACAATTTAATGATCACAGATGCACGATCTGTGATATTTTTACCATCATGCATTCAAAAATCATATCAAAATTTTAAACGGGTATTTTTGGTCAATTTGTTCGAGAATAATTTTGTGTGTGTGCTGTTTTTCCAGGGATGAATATGAATAATAAAAGTATCCATGTTTTGAATACTCTGCAGAATCGACAGAAATTGTAGCGATTGCTGTAGTATGTGGACACTTCTTATCATGAATGTGCAAGAATACAAGCATGAAACTGTTTCTTATATCGGAATGTCCGATTTTGAATTCAGAGTGAGGATGCAAGTTAATACGACTCTTTTAACATTGTTCCAGCAATGGGCTACACACATTGAACCAGTGTTGGGAATCGTATCCAAGTCTTCGGCGTGACGAACAAATGCTTTAACCACTAGGCCACCACCCCAGAAAGTACCTTTTAATCACTAGCCTAACACACTGCCACAAAACGAAGCAACCAATATAAACACGCTACAGCTAGTTTGACAAATTGTGAACTTTAACTCTGAAAATTATTTGAATGCTCCTTAAATGCCTAGAAGGTAGGGATAAAACTGACAAGTCAAGTGTAGAAGCCTTGAACTACCAGATAGCGCCAGAAAACGATACGTAAGGAAGCCAAGCTGTTGCCCGTCTTCGATTAGTCGGCAATGAGGTTTTATTATCATGCTTTTTCGATCGATGATGTATTGATTGGCGCACATTTGTTGTCTGATTAAACTTCCAGCCCTTAAAGACAGAACATGAGAGGTCTCAGTACTCTAACTAAATTGTGATCTTTGGTTGGCATAGTACTGACTGACTGAGTTTGGTTTTACGCCGCTTTTAGCAATATTCCAGCAACATCTCGGCGGGGGACACCAGAAATGGGCTTCACACATTGTGCCCATGTGGGGATTCGAACCCGGGTCTTCGGCATGACGAGCTAACGCTTTAACCATTAGGCTACCCCACCGCCCCGGTTGGCATAGTAGCTTTGCACACTGTACCGGTGTTGGATTTGTAACAGGGTGGTGAGGTAGCCTAGTGGTTAAAGCGTTCGCTCGTCACGCCGAAGACCCGGGTTCGATTCCCCACATGGGTACAATGTGTGAAGCGCATTTCTGGTGTTCCCTGCCGTGATATTGCTGGAATATTACTAAAAGTGGCGTAAAATAAAACTCACTCACTCAACTCAGTTGTGAATACAATATAACCTGAAAACTACCAAGGAATGTTTGTGTTATTTGAGTGTAGTATAATATATTTATTTTGGGTCATTTTATCATGGGTTTGGCAGCGTAAAATTTACAAATTGAGGAATTGTTGTCTGTGTTGCAACAACTAAATGAATCCCCTCCTTCCACAACTAGATAGAGAGCCTGTATGCAAGAGAAAGGTCGTAGGTTCGGTGGGGGTTCGATTCCTGAAGGCGTAAAACCAAAACTCGTTTTAAGGCTTACATTTTTTTACCATACTTGGTGCTTGCTTATACGTAATAAACGTAGGACTTACTGCTCGGATTTAGTATGCTACAGACCGTGAAGATCCAGTAGAGAATTGATCTTCAGTAACCCATGCTTTTCGTAAAAGACGACTAAGGGGATCGGGTGGCCAGGTTCGCTGACTTGGTTGACACATGTCATCGGTTCCCAATTGCGCAGATCGATGTTCATGCTGTTGATCACTGGATTGCTGGTCCAGACTCGATTATTTACAGGCCGCCGCCATATAGCTGGAATATTGCTGAGTGCGGCGTAAAACTAAACTCACCCACTCGAACTGTGCGCTGTACACTGCCGCCTTCTGTCTTACAACGTCGATTGCCAATGACACCATGCTGCATATAGCACAAACACCAAGACCGCTTCAAGAATTCCTACAATATGTTTCATTCAAAGTAACAGTTTGATTGATAATGATTCATTTGTCTTTTTGAAACAATCACACTGTAAATATGTGGCATTAAATGGTTCATCCGCCAAGCCTGGATTTGCACTCATCACTCAAGGCTTACAGATGATGTACACATGGGTGTGGTCATAAAACAACGACCACATTCTCCTCATGCTGTTAGCCTTGAACTCTAGGACGTCGCAGTCGTGGTCGCTGGGGTTGTAGGTCCTGGAGATGTCGTTGAGGCCAGGAACATACCAGGTGGACCACCTTTTACTCTTCCACTGGATTTTGTAGGCGATGATTTTGCCCCCGTCAATCAGCTGATCGGCGAAGATGTTGAGTCCAGCAACCCAAGCGCAGTTTTTGGTTGGTTTTCTTTCGTATTCTAAGCAGATTACCTGGAAACACGAACGAGCTATTGAGGTTATGGCATTACCTGGCCTATGCATTGTTAAAGTATTTATGTCACTGATCCTGTGAGTGAGTGAGTGAGTGAGTGAGTGAGTGAGTGAGTGAGTGAGTGAGTGAGTGAGTGAGTGAGTGAGTGAGTGAGTGAGTGAGTGAGTGAGTGAGTGAGAGGAGTGAGTGAGTGAGTGAGTGAGTGAGTGAGTGAGTGAGGAGTGAGTGAGTGAGTGAGGAGGAGTGAGTGAGTGAGTGAGTGAGTGAGTGAGTGAGTGAGTGAGTGAGTGAGTGAGTGAGTGAGTGAGTGAGTGGTAGTGAGTGAGTGAGTGAGTGAGTGAGTGAGTGAGTGAGTGAGTGAGTGAGTGAGTGAGTGAGTGAGTGAGTGAGTGAGTGAGTGAGTGAGTGAGTGAGTGAGTGAGTGAGTCTATACATATACAACACTGCAACATACACTTGCCTGACCGTGTGTGTCACTGTACACCTAAATAATAGAAATGTGTGTTTTAGATCTACGCTACCAATCAAGTCAGCGTGACGAGGGATGTCACGGACAAAATAATATATTTGGATTGATCCCGATTGTTTCAGGTTACTTTGGATTGTTCGGGATTGTTCTCAGCTACTTAATAACTCTCGGTATTGTTATTGTTTGTGTTTTTTTGTTTCTTTTTATTGTTTTAGAGCTTTTATATTACTGTATACTGACTGGGTTTGTATTAAGAGGAATACATTTTAATGGATAGACAATTACTACAATAGATGCAACATTTCGGTGTAGACCCTAATTAAGAACGTTATCAAGCAAGTGATAAACAACATGTGCAACAAGGAGAAATATATACATGGCGGGTATTAAGGTTTACACAATTGAAGAAGTTGATGTACAGTGCGTTGATATAAGGAAGTTTGTTGTGATTAGAGAGATGATTGAAGTCAGATGGACAAAGGGTGGGTTATTCTTGATTGGCCTTGATTAGTTGATCGTAAGCTGTAGGGATGTAACAACCTTGATATCTGTTGATTGGTGTTTTATTGTCAGTGATTGTAATTTATTAGATGTATTACTTTAGATTGTTCAGTGTTAGTTTGGAGTGATTGTAGATTATTAGTTGTTACTTTGGTTGTCTTGGATTGTCTTTGTTTAGGGATCCTCAAGGAATATCTGGATATTTGTTTTATTGCGTTAAATTGCACAGTAAGTGTCTGAGCAAGTTGAAATGTTACCTCACATAGGCAATATTCCAGCCAGTCATTCATTCAGAACAAATATGTTCGTACTTACATTAATTCACAAAATTAAATTTATCGAATAACAGAATAACATCTATTGTATCACAGGTTATATTTAAATATAGTTTGAAATTAGTTTAATATACTAAACCCTTATTCAACAACGTAATATGTGATCGAGCTATATATCGCCGGCAACCAAACTGGGGACCGATTACTTACAATCTGTTATTTTAATCTGCTTGTGATTAATCGCAAGTTTAGTCAATAATTACTAATCACAAATATACTGCCATTACAACTGTGGTAGGCAAAACACTCTTTGACTCAATGGTCTTATGGTACCCCCTCAGGGGCTTTAAATTATCCAGTATGAGAGTGAGCCAGTTGAATATTGCGTCACATCAACAATATTCCAGTCATATCATGACGACAGTGAGTGAGGTTTTAGTTTTACGCTGCTTGTTGCAATATTCCTGCAATATCACGTAGGGATTTCTTTTGATTGGCCACGAATTGTTCTTGTTGTCATAATATCTGATTATTTTGTATTGTCTTTTATCAGGATCACATTAGGGTTAGTTTGGATTGTTCCTATAATTTCGTTGAATTGTTCTGCGTTACGTGTTATTGTCTTGGGGGCGGTGGGGCAGCCTAGTGGTTAAACGTTCGCTCGTCACCTTGTTCGATTTGTTTTGCCATAATATCGGTTTACTTTGTATTGTCCTCGTTCAGGGTCATATAGGGTTACTTTAGATCGTTTCTATTTCGTTGAATTGTTCAGTGTTACATGTTTTTTTCTTGGGGGCGGTGGGATAGCCTAGTGGTTAAACGTTCGCTCGTCACCTTGTTCGATTTGTTTTGCCATAATATCGGTTTACTTTGTATTGTCCTCGTTCAGGGTCATATAGGGTTACTTTAGATCGTTTCTATTTCGTTGAATTGTTCAGTGTTACATGTTTTTTTCTTGGGGGCGGTGGGATAGCCTAGTGGTTAAACGTTCGCTCGTCACCTTGTTCGATTCGTTTTGCCATAATATCTGATTTCTTTGTATTGTACTCGTTCAGGGTCATATAGGATTACATTAGATCGTTTCTATTTATTAAATTGTTCAGTTTAGTTTAGAGCCAGTTTAGCCAATAATTAAAATTCACAAATATTCTGTGATTAAAACTGTGGTGGGAAAGATATTCCCAGGGGATAAATTGTTGAGGGTTACTTCGTATTAGCCATGGGTTGTCTACCCTTGCCACAATATCTGATTACTTTGTATTGTATTGTCCTCGTTCAGGGTCACATAGGGTTACTTTGGATTGTTTCTATTTATTTAAATTGTTCAGTTTAGCCAACAATTAAAATTCACACATTGTGGAAATAGCTTTGCTGGAATATGTACATTTTATGTACAAATGTCGATATTTCTCTGGGTTGGCAGTGGTATATCAAATGTGTTTGTGCTCACTGACTCTTCTCAATCAGGCCTTATCTTTTCTTTCGGCCCGCCATGTTTGTTTGTGGTTCTTCTATGTTTGTGTGCCAGGACCGAGTTTTCACGTTCACGCTAAGACCAAAAGGTACGTTTGATGGATAGCATATAAGAGCTGATCTTATGCAAACAACAATAAACAATAGCGTAGCAACTGCGTTGTCTGGATATCTAGTTTCGAATACTATTTGTTTGTAACCTGTTTAACGCCAACATTCCATCGATACAGTAGCGCGGTGCGTCTTACCTGTTTGTGAACAGTCTTTAGTTTCCAGGTTAGAATCGAATTTTCACGGGTTAATAATGTTTAATATTAATGAAACAAAATTGGAAGCACATTATATATATATTTATAGAATATTTCAAGTGTCTAATGAAATCTGATGTATCTGTCACGAATGACGTGAAAACGTAAAATTGTCACGAGTGACGTGAAAACGTAATATTGTCACGAGGGACGCGAAAACGTAAAATTGTCACGAGGGACGTGAAAACGTCATATTGTCACGAGTGACGTAGCCACGAGTGAACGTATCCCGTTCATCACGTCACGATCTCTATACTCAGAGACTAACCAAGGCCTAGTCTACCAGCTTACCTGAGAACTGATATCCTGTCTCAACATAGCGGATTCTATCGTCGACATGACACGCGCTGACGTGACCGCCATGATGGCGGACAGGGTGACGAGAAACCATCCAAATGTCCTCATCGTATGTCTGTATACACGTAAATAACAGGGACGTGTGTTTTATATTCTCTCAATCAACCAATCAGCTGGTTGAGAGATGTCACGTCCAAATCAATCAGGTATCGACTGTGTTAGTGTTCTCCACGGGGAAGCCACACGGTGCAAGGTCACAGATCGATGCCTACACAGGGTGTATACTTATACAGCATAAACACGCAGAACAATTACCCACAAAGAACCATTGTTTATATATACAAATAACTCACAAAGCGCATCTACAAAAAAAGTGTTATTTCATCTAACCATACGTGCACCTGTGCAAGGAAATTCTGATAAACAATCTGCAAATATACGTACCGTTTTGTTTCGCGTTATTGGCAAAACGACTTTTATTTGACTCGTTAATGCCAACACCCACCTTCCATTCTACAGCAGCGTATGTTTACTTATGAAATTTCTGCTTAATCATAATTCTCAAAAATAAATCATCTAAACGATTTCAAAACTACCCGTGAATATCCGGGTTAGAAATGGTCTTCAGCAACCCATGCTTGTCGCAAGAGGCGACTGATGAGATCGGGTGGTCAGACTCGCTGACTTCATTGACACATGTCATCATATCACATTTGGTCGATGTTCATAATGTTGATCACTTGCTTGTCTGGTCCAGAATCGGTTATTTACAGACCACCGCCATATGGCTAGAATATTGCTGAGTGTGGCGTTAAGCAAAGAAAAGAAGGAGAGGGAAGAATTCAAAAGTCTGGATCAGAAGCTGTAACCATAATTTCAATTCAGTTCTCAAGCCTTGGTATACAATTTTTTTGTGAATTCGTAAAAGGAAGGCAGGGGGTAGTCAGTGTCTCCGCAGGTGCAGTTTCCTTACAGAATGCGCATGTGTTCTTATGTGTGTTTATCACTGCTTAATTGATAGCTTCCTGTCTGGTCCCATTCTCGTTTGAATCTTCGCATGCATATTGTGAAGGTTAAGCAGTCATAATCTCTGAAAATAGCATTGTAACCATGGGAACGAACCACAATGACATGCTTCCTGGCAATTTCAAGTCTGGAATATTGGATTGGGAAAACAAAAACTTCCAACGATACCAAACACATCTTGCTATATCTCCGGTAATAAAAATAATAACAACAATAATAAGTAGGCTTATGTAGTACTAACCGCATACGTGATGGACATTATTACCCTGGATAACCAAAACTGCCTGTGAGGCGCTAGAAGATTAAGACCTATATTAATTATCCCACTTGGTACCCATGTTCTGCTGGGTGAACGGTGGAAGTGTTTTGACTAAGAGAACCACTGCGCTATTAATACGAATTATATTACAACTCCTATAACAATGTCTGTAGCTATTACCGCTATTCGCTCGTCACGTCGAAGACCCGGGTTCGATTCCCCACATGGGTACAATGTGTGAAGCCCATTTCTGGTGTCCCCCGCCGTGATATTGCTGGAATATTGCTAAAAGCGGCGTAAAACCACACTCACTCACTCACTATTACCGCTACTGCTGCGTCTAAAGTCAATACAATCAAACAGGACATTATTAACAGACATATGGCTGTTTGCACGCTGAAGTACGTAACCCTTGTGATGGTAAAACTTCAAGAGGTACTTCTACAACAACCACTACTACCGTTGCTATTACTTCTACTATAACTAAAACTGTCCTATTAACACTTCAAAAGATGTATGAGGCGACTAACGGGATCGGGTGGTCAGGTTCGCTGACTTGGTTGACATACGTCATCGTATCCACGTTGCGTAGATGAATGCTGATGCTGTTGATCACTGGAATATCTGGTCCAGAGCCATGCGGCGCTAAACAACAAACCAACTACAACTGACTGACGGGATAAGACATGGACTGGTCAGCTCAGAATCCGTACACTGTATATTGGTGGGATGTCAGCTAGTACTATATAACTGACATTCCCTCCCTCCATCCATCCATCCACCCATCTCTCCACCAATCCTCCCTCCTTCCATCCATCCATCCACCCATCCATCTCTCCATCCATCCTTCCCTCCTTCCATCCATCCATCCACCATCCATCCATCTCTCCACCCATCCTTCCTCCTTCCATCAATCCAACCACCCATCTATCCACCCATCCATCCATCATCCATTAATTTCTCCATCCATCCATCCACCCCCGCCCGTCCATCCATCCATCCGTTTCTCCATCCATCCATCCCACCCGTCCATCCATCCATGTCTCCATCAATCCATCATCCATCCATTTCTCCAATCATCCATTTCTCTCTCCATCCATCCATCCATTTCTCCATCCATCCATTTCTCTCTCCATCAATCTATCCATTTCTCCACCCATCCACCCATCATCCCATCCATCCATCCACCCATCCATCCATCATCTATCCATTTCTCATCCTTTCATCCATCCATCCATCCCTCTTTCCCTCCCTCCACTCCTCCATCCATCTCTCATCCATCCTTTTAACACCGACACTGGATACATCAGTATCACAAACACTCTCAACACCGCAATCACCGCCGTCTCTCGACTGCACGAACGACGTTTACATGTCAATTCCCAAGCTGGTTCCTATACATTCCCTCGTGATTCACAGGAGGGAACCGTGTTGCAACAAGGCCAGCATAAACCATCAATTGTGACTGCGTATAAATGCCTATAAATATTACAGATTGACTTGGAAACAGATGTTGCTGTCATCGACACGCATGCCATGGTATACGTTCTTTACTCCACGTTTGAGTTAATCTTGCCGGAACCCGTGAAGATCCGTATTAGAATTGGTCTTCAACAACCTATGCTTGTCTCCACCTGTGAAGATCCGGATTACAATTGGTCTTCGGCAGAAGATCTGTTTTAGAATTGATCTTCAGCAACTCATGCTTGTCGTAAGAGGCGACTAAAGGGATCGGGCAGTCGCGTTCGATATGATTGTATTTATGCTTTGACGTGCATGTATATATGCGAGGACTTATTCTAGTGAGTGCCCACCCTTGCGTGTTTAATTCCGTTAATGCCGAGCGTCAGGCAGGGCGATAATAAATAGCATCTTGTAATGTATTTTGGTAGGACACGACAAGAGAATCGAACCACCGACTTTCCGCTCTCCGGGCAGACGTCAATCCATTAGGCGACAGAAGGCGATCGACCAGACGTAACGGTGGCATCTGTACCATGACTAAAGGCCAGGTGAGGCGGGCACTGAATGTATAAATCTTTTGCTGATCTGCTGGTATGGGAGTACCGCGCCCCATGTGTTTGTCATCACATCAATAACCCTGTACGGAGCACAGAGGAGTCGAGTGACGATTGTTGGACACACATGTTATAGGAACGGGAATCAATACAGAGCGATGTGACATCTGCTATAGGAACACACTTTTACGTCATTAGCGAGACAAGCGGCATCACGGCGCTATGTATGGTCAGAATATTTCACGTTCTTGCTGCAACGTCGACGTTGGCGCCGGACATTGTCACAGATTGAAACCGCGTTGCTGAGGCTGGATTTTCTCCCCAAGTATGTAAGCGAGACCCAAACTACACAGAGCAAAAGTCAACCAGACGTTAAACACGCAGCACTGTTTGTAGGCAGTGGTTGGTTGTAGGCAGTGGGGATGTAATATCCTTGATTTCTGTTCATGGCCGGTTGGAGTCTACCCACTACAAGATCAGAAGCTACTAGAAGCCATTCACATCAAGAGACTCCAACCGGCCATGAACAGAGACCAAGGATATTACATCCCCACTGCCTACAACCAACTCATCACCAAGCAATCTTAATCCCATTATTCTCCTGTCTGTCATATCACTGGCTTCCTCCCAATAATCCCCCATAGCTTATTCTGTTTGTGTAACAATTGCCTTCTTGTTTAAACATCCTCCAACCTTGTACATCAACCTCAATAATTGTGCAAACATCAATCACTTACTGTTCAACTTTACGTTGTATATATATACCTTGCCTCTAGCACTGTACATCATTTGCTTGATAACGGTGTTAGTAGCTACACCGAAACGACGCTCATATTATATTAAAGAAGTTGTATATCCATAGAACTCTCCTCGTTGTTTAATATTCCAGCAATATCACGGCGGGGGACACCAGATATGGGCTTCACAGATTGTACCCATGTGTGGAATCGAACCCGGGCCGTCGGCGTGACGAGCGAACGCTTTAACCACTAGACTACCCCACCGCCCCAATTGGAGGTGAGACCAGCAGATGAGAGTGCTGATGTCGATAATGAACATGTTCTTTTGGGAGTATCGATGGCACGCAGGCCACAATGATGTTCGATTTTCGTATTACTATGGCACGAAACCGCATTCCAACTTTGGTTTGCTTGTTTGCTTGTTTGCTTGTTTAACCAGTGGTCTGTATTCTGGTCTAGCACCGACACTTTACATGTTTCCGCTTGTTGTTTTTATTGTCAGTTTTTGTGTTTGTTATGTAACATGGCCTGACCACGTGATCCCGTTAGTCGCCTCTTACGAAATTCTAGACTCTGATCTCCATGGGTCCATGTATTGTGAAAACAGGGAGTGTCCCATGCTTTGTTAACTAATCGCTTCAGTACTTCAGGTTACTGAACTATTTCACCTTGTACATGCTCAAACGCCCTTATCGGGGCGGTGGGGTAGTCTAGTGGTTAAAGCGTTGGCTCGCCACGCCGAAGACCCGGGTTCGAATCCCCACAGGGGTACAACGTGTGAAGCCCATTTCTGGTGTCCCCCGCCGTGATGTTGCTGGAATATTGCTTAAAGCGGCGTAAAGCCAAACTCAGTCAGTCAGTCAGTCAGCCAAACGCCCTTATCAACCAGTACCAATATAAAAAGCCTTGATTCAGTGCAAATTGAGGAAACTGTGAGGATAAATATCTTTTATGTCCTCTCCTGTCGCAAAACATTCTTCATGTGAGGGCGTGGTGTGTATGTGACACCTTTGGTGTGTATATTTCACACCTTGTGCAGTGCATCCAAGCATGTTCTTTACTAAAAGACCCCCTTGTGTAATCTAGGCTACAACGTTAACACCTCGGGACGATGGGGTAGCCGAGTGGTTAAAGCATTCACTCGTCAAACCGAAGATCCGGGTTCGAATCCCCAAATGGGTACAATGTCTGAAACCCATTTCTTGTGTTATTTAAGAGGTTGTATCGCTTTGTTGGAAGGTTACCCTAATCGATTTGCACGAACAGTTCAGGATAATCTCTAGGACTCAAATGACTTGAACTTGAGATATTGTATTTTATTTGCTTATTTAACGCTGCATATAATGTCTGTCTGTGAGTGAGTGAGTTCAGTTTTACGCCGCACTTAGCAGTATCCCAGGTAAATGGAGGCGGTCTGTAAATAATCGAGTCTGGACAATCCAGTGATCAACAGCATGGGCATCAATCTACGCAGTTGGAACACGATGACATGTGTCAACCAAGTCAGCAAGCCTGACCATCCAATCCCGTTAGCTGACTTTTACGACAAGCGTGGGTTAATGAAGATCAGTTCTAACCCGGATCTTCACGGGTATAATGGGCTATCTGTAATTAATCGAGTCTGGACCAGGTAATCCAGCGACTGACCCATGCTCAATCAAAGCGATGCAAGCCATGCAGAATAAGATATTTCTTTGAGATGGATGTGGAAGCGATTCTGTCACTTCTATTCTTAGACGTTCCGTGACTGATCATCTGAGTCATTTAGTTGCCAATCTCGACATCCACCCGCACCAGAGGCCCTATACTCGTACCAGTAATACCCTTGCATCTGAATTCAGCAAAACATGGCGACATCGTCAATAACGCTTAATCCCAGTAGGTCGTGTTCAGTCCAAAGAATGACCTCTATAGTTCATGAAAAGGAGACAACGCTCTCATCACAGTTGTCTCCAGAAACACGAACTGGCGGATGCATTTGTATCATCCTTGCACGATGTAATCCTGACGAACATATTATACAGCGCACATATCCACGCAACTAGCACATGCTCCAGACGCTGGAGTGTTCCCTTGATCAACGGATGTCTTTTTCTGGCATTCTTTTTAACCAACTCAACTCCCTGGGGAGTATTCAACTCATGCAGCCTGTTAGGCGCAGTGAGTTATCACATAGCCTCATCCTCACAAGGTACCCATTTGCAGCTGGGTGAACTGGGACACATAGTCTCATTATTTTGTCCAATGATACTGCACGTTACTATATCCGCAACTAGGTGTCTGCACGTGTTCGTGTGTCCACCATCTGGTCACCTATCATCAATTGAATGGGTTTAAGTAAGTGCCAAACGTTGTGTACTGCACACTAGGGGTTGTGACAACACTGAAAGAGCCTGCAAGTAACTTTAGCTCCAAGGTTTTTACACCCGGTCACAAGTGAGGCTCGATCCAGGCACCTTTCGTTTAGTAGCGCGGCGCCTTAGACAGCTTGCCCACCTTGCCCCTTGTGTACATATCCAACATGAGCTGCTACAAGTCTCATAGCACTAAATGCATTTCAACCAAGAACGAGTTAAGAAATAGCTAAGGTGTTCTCAATGTGCATGACCCTTTGCCAGCGTGGCCGATGGAACCTACCAGGGTAAGACTATTACTATTATCACGAAGTTTGTAAATCGACCAATGACAAATTGTGAAGAAAATACTCATTAACCTTCTCCTAATAAAGACTAGGGACCGTTCTGAGAGCTTAGGGACCGTTCTTAAAGCTCAGGGACCGGTCTTAAAGATTAGGGGCCGTTGTTAATGCTTAGGGACCGTTCTTAAAGCTTAGGGGCCGTTCTTAAAGCTTAGGAACCGTTATTAAAGCTTCGGGACCGTTCTTAAAGCGTAGGGACCGTTCTTAAAGCTCAGGGACCGTTCTTAGAGCTTAGGGACCGTTATTAAAGCTTAGGGACCGTTCGTAAAGCTTCGGGACCGTTCTTAAAGCTCAGGGACCGTTCTTACAGCTTATGGACGGTTGTTAAATCTTAAGGACAGTTTCTTAAAGCTTAGGGATCGTTCCTAAAGCTTAGGGACCGTTCTTAAAGCTTGGGGACCGTTCTTAAAGCATAGGAACCGTTCTTAAAGCTTACGGACCGTTCTTAGAGCTTAGGGACCGTTATTGAAGCTTAGGGACCGTTCTTAAAGCATAGGAACCGTTCTTAAAGCTTGGGGACCGTTCTTAGAGCTTAGGGACCGTTCTTAAAGCTTGGGGACCGTTCCTAAAGCTTGGGGACCGTTCTTAAAGCTTTGGGGCCGTTCTTAAAGCTTAAGGACCGTTCTTAAAACTTGGGGACCGTTCTTAAAGCTTAGGGACCATTCTTAAAGCTTAGGGACCGTTCTTAAAGCTGAGGGACCGTTCTTAGAGCTTAGGGACCGTTCTTAAAGCTTCGGGGCTGTTCTCAAAGCTTAGGGACCGTTCTTAAAGCTTCGGGACCGTTCTTAATGCTTAGGGACCGTTCTTAATGCTTAGGGGCCGTTCTTAAAGCTTAGGGACCGTTCATAATTCATGGCTAGGTGAGGGGCTGGGGATGATGATTTCTATGGATTTGTATGTCAAATGTGAATGACTTGCTGGCAAACATTCTTCCTGTTATCACGTGGGTCACTGTCGTCAAAGAGGCATTAGAGTTAAACTGGTCAAGTAGCAGAAATTGGAAGGGGAAATGTTTTTTGTATGTCTGGCAAATGATCATTGGCGGATTGAACATTGATCGAATTACATGTACCAGCCATCAACATGGAATTAAAAGTCAGCAACAAAACAGTACATATCGGCAAGGTGTTTTGCAGAAAATAGAAAGCTGTTGGTTCTATTTCAAATCTAGCTGAGAATATATCCTATCTCACTACACTCCATCAAACCAGTTTATACCTAATGCCTTCCTGAAATATCGGGATGTACAATAACATGTGGGGTATCATACGTTTTTCACATCTTTTTAAAAGCAATCAAGGAAAACGCATTCCAAAGGTTAATCAATAATATGCATGTTACCCTAGCTATGGATTATGTGCGATAAGCCTGTGACCTTTCAGTATTTATCGATCAAATACAGATTGGATATTTGAGTTTGTGTGGTCATTTGCTGATTTCACAATTCTGTTCTGTGCAAACTGATCCGGTGGTTTCAACTTTGGAATCAACATCACCATTCACTGTTCCGATACCCTTTTCTATAGGTCAGCCACAACTGCTGTCAACAGGCACGTGACAACTGGGACAATCATTAACAGCTAGACTAATACGAAAAATAGCATTTTACTTCGCAGTTAAAGTGGTCTCTAGTTAGAATATTTAAACTTGGTCTGTATGCCAGAGGTCAAGCGGAAACTATTTGCGGGTCCAAAAAGGGATGCCTTTGATTCATCTAGGGCAGGGGCCTTGCTTCATAAAGCGATCGTAGAATCGTCAATGCTTAAGTATAAGGGCTACGATGTTCGTAGCGCTACGACTGTCGTAAGCCTGTGCTAAATTATACGGGTGACGATGTTCGTAGCGCTTCGACTGCAGGAAGCCTGTACTAAAGAATAGGGGTGACGATGTGCGTAGTGCTACGACTGTCATAAGCGATTGTGCTAAAGTATAGAGGTTACGATGTTCTTAGCGCTACGACTGTCAAAGCCTGTGCTAAAATATGTGGACTACGTAGTCCGTAGCGCTACGACTGTCGTAAGCCTGTGCTAAAGTATAGGGTGTTACGATGTACGTAGCGATACGACTGTCGTAAGCCTGTGCTAAAGTATAGGGGTTACGATGTTCGTAGCGCTACGACTGTCGTAAACCTGTGCTAAAGTATAGGGGTTACGATGTCCGTAGCGCTACGACTGTCGTAAGTCTGTGCTATAGTATAGGGGTTACGATGTACGCCTCTTTTAGCAATATTCCAGCAATATCACGGTGGCGGACACCAAAATGGGCTTTACACACTGTGCCCACGTGGGGAATCGAACCCGGGTCTTTGGCGTGACGAGCGAAAGACTTAACCACAAGGCTACCCCACCACCCTCAAAATAAAAATACATAAAGACAATATACTTCCCAACAGAAATACATCGTATGCTATGCATTAAAAATATTCTCATCTAGCTTTCTAGACAACCAACCTTACTGCGATTCTGTCGTCCAACTGCCAAAACACACTAAGAACAATCTTCATACCTCCTGAAACAAATCACGTGATCAAACCGAGGACATACGCATGGTTGAATGACTTGCGTTTTCAAACAGCAACTTAATATCAGGGGGGAATATTTACAAATATAAGCACATATGGGGGTTGGCTTAACGGGTATTTAGGCTGCCATTATAATGAGCGTCGTCTCGGGAGTATTCATTCTGTCTCTCATGTGAAGCACAGTGTTGTGGTCTGCTCCAAGTCAACAACATTCGGTGTAACTATAATTCAGTTATTTCATGCCCGATGTAATACAGGTATGAAGTGTTTACATGGACAGGAGGCTGACAATCACATTCTGGGGTTCGAATCCACAGTCATTGTTGCACGACATTAAAAGTGTTCTACGTTTATGTCTTATGTGTGGAACAAATACTGTTGTGAATGAACTACATGTATTAATGCATTGTCCCATGTACACAGATTTACGTCTTAACTTAGAATGGCCCGGATTATTCAAAACATTGTGAATAGCTAGCATACCTTAGTATAGGAAGGTAACAAATGTATGATTGGGCTGTCCTACTGCAAGCAGCTGCATTGGCCGATACAGATCAAAGGGGTTAGCACCACGAAGCATTAAGTAGAGCACTTACGTCCTAAGTATACACGTTCACGCTGAACTCAGAGTGAGATAAGTCTCACGGGTCTTATCGCCGTGCATGTGTAAGTGCGTTGTCATGTGCACATATTTACGTCTTAACTTAGAATGTCAGGTTCAGTTGGCATGTGATGCATAGGGAATGCTGTCTGATGTCCTCAGGTTCTGCTTTTTACTGTCTAATCAAAATGTTATAAATTATACTACTAAAACCCTCTACTTAATTTTAGGGGCGGTGGATTAGCCTAGAGTTAAAAAGTTGGCTCGTCACACCGAAGACCCGGGTTCGATTTCCCACATGGGTATAATGCGTGAAGCCCATTTCTGGTGTCCCCCGCCGTGATGTTGCTGGAATATTGCTAAAAGCGGCGTAAAACCATACTCACTCACTCACTCTACTCAATTTTAGAGCGAAGAAGATCGTTTTTATATTCATGCATGTTGTACAATTTGTATCCTTTTACTGTCATTTTTCAGTTTGCAATTTAGATTATCTCCTACAGTGTATCATAATTCTTTAAAGATTGACTAGGATTCTTTTTCTCTTTTACTCACATCATGCGTGTGTGTGTGTGTGTGTGTGTGTGTGCGCGCGTGCGTGCGGGCGTGTGCGTGAGTGTGTATTATGTACCCTTGGTGAGACTTAAATAACTGTCTGACTGACTTTCCACAGCGAATGGCTGAGCCTCAGACAACTGTGCTTTCTCTGCTGTCACAGAAGAGATTTGTGGACAAGCAAATCCCTACAGTGGAAAACCAACGCTTTTAATTCGAATTCGGCATTCAAACTGTCGGACATGACTGTCTCCTCTCAAACTCGCATGATAAGGCACAATGGTGGTTCACGAGTCTGCACCGAGATGTCGTTGTTGAAGTTGTTATTACCGTACATGTGTGACACGGCAAAATTTAGAATTACTGTCAGCGTTGTTCAACAACTTGCCTGTTTTTCGCCATATCATTCGCCTGTCAGACCTATCTCACTCCGAGTTCAACGTGGGCTTGTTTACGTAGCACGTAAGTGCTCTACTTATCGTTTAGTGGTGCAACTCCTTTGATCTATATCGGTCAATGCACCTGTTTGCAGTACTACAGCCCATTCATACATTTGTTACCTTCCTACACCCAGGTCTGTGAGCTATTCACACATTTCTGAATAACCCGGGTCAACGTTCGGGTGCCTATTTCGTATGGAGCCTTAGTCGTCATTTAAACACCGTGACACCGAGCCCCAACGAATTGCCTTTGAGACGATACAGCAGCGCTACACATATAGGGGTCCTTCTCACTTCAAGGTGACTAACGGGCTAGTATTGAAACACTCGCTAACCTAAGTTATTTCCCATAGAAGGGACACACAATGTGCTGAAGTGACACATCAAAATCAGAAAGTGTTTGCCTTAAAGCCACTTTCAACATATTTGAGTTATATATTAAGTAAAACAAATAAGGCAACGCATGATAGTGCGAACGTTCCTTTATTTTTGTACAGGTTTCTTTGCAAGCTTTGTATTGAACTGTGGAAAAAATAATGTGAGAATAGATGAGAACCATTGCGACGAAGTATTGTTTCCTTATTTGATTTCCTGAGTATATATCATGGTAAATCCGTGGATGTAGGAGGATTTAAGATGTTAGCCACTTTGAACAATATCCCAGTTATATACTGAGGGACACAAATAAGGGAACAGTGCTAGCTATTCCTTTACTCTTTTCCAGGTTTCATAGTTAGCTTTTTATTGCACTGTAGACGCTTAAGCCCAATAGCCCATATTGCTACAGTGAAATATTGAGGTTCATCCTTCCAATTGACATTAGTCTTGCGTTCGTGAGGGCGGTGGGGTTGTCCAGTGGCTGAAGCGTTCGCGTGTCTCACCGAAGACCCGTGTTCGATTCCCCACATGGGTAAAATGCGTGAAGCCCATTTGTGCTGTCAATGTTGCAAAACAGTTGTGTTGATGTGTTTTTTCACACTAAGAGTATTCTTGAGTAAGTTTTATAACAACAGTTCAAGGAGCTTGCATCTTGAGGTATTGGGCCCGTGAAGATCAGCAGCCAACGCTTGCCACAAAAGGCGACTATGCTTGTCGTAAGAGGCGACTAACGGGATCGGGTGGTCAGGCTCGCTGACTTGGTTGACATATGTCATCGGCTTCCAATTGCTCAGATCGATACTCATGCTGTTGATCACACTGGATTGCCTGGTCCAGACTCGATTATTTACAGACCGCCACCATATAGCTGGAATATTGCTGAGTGCGGCGTAAAACTAAACTCACTCGCTTACTCACTTGAGGTATTGTTACAATGGTAGTGTGATCGGGGATACCCTGTTGAAATAATGGCGTACACCAAAACAGAGCAGTGACAGGATTCTCACAAAAGAATCTCCAGGACTAGATTGTCCAGACCCAGTTATCTACAGCTGGAACATTGTTGAGAGAGGCGTTGAACAACAACCAAAGCAACATGTTTAACCACGTGCATTAAACCATGTTCCAAAATACAGAGCATAGAAGAGAGAGCATTAAACCATGTTCCAAAATACAGAGCATAGAGAGAGAGCATTAAACCATATTCCAAAATACAGAGCGTAGAGGAGAGAGCATTCAACCATGTTCCATGGTATCGAGTTTAGAGGAGACCTTCCAGTGTTTAACACCATGAACATCGATCCATGGGGTATGTTAGCAAGTCAGCGACCACAATACTGACAATGACCATCTGATCCACTGAGCCACCTCCTGCGACGTGGGAAAATATGGAATTGGCTAAGTAACATGTCACTGATTCCTTTTCAGTCAACAAGTGGGGGTTGAGGCTCAGAATTGTTCAGAAATTCCTTCCACTGTTCGTAAGGGGAACCGAGTGCACCTGTTCTGACACGAGAAAACGTGATTGCAACAGCGTTTACTTTTAATCATTTGATTGTCTGGTCTGGACACTGTCAGGTCTTATTACCTCTTCTTTACAGCTCACTTGCTGACAAAGGTCACTCCAAAACAACAATCATATGTAAAAAGAGTTTTTTAATTGCATAAATTACAAGAGCTGCTGCCCAAAAATGTTCTCATTATGATGTGGGTCACTGTTGTCAAAGGAGGACTGAGGAGATTAACAAAGGTTATGTAGCAGGAGGTAGATGAGAAGATTTGTTTGTATGTCTGGCAAATGATCATTGGCGCATTGAACACTGATCGCCTTACAAGTACCAGCCATTTGGCAAGGTTATTGCCACAAAACAGTTCATAGCAACAATGATTTTCACAGAAGATACAGTGGTGTAGGATTTTAGTTCCAATCCTTAAAAGTACATGGTTTTTAAGATCTAACTGAAAATATGTCCATTCTCACTACACTCTCTAAAGCTCATTAAAGCTTTGATCCTTAATGCCTTCAGAAAATATAAGCATGTTCAATAAAGTGTGACATCAAATGTATTTCACGTATATATGAAAGCAATTTCAGAAGATGCATTTTAACGGATTAACTAACAAGTTGCATATGTCTCTAGTTGTGGAGTAAGCAATAAGCAATGACTTTTCAGTATTTATATAAAAATAAAGACTGGATATATTCTTGTGTGGTCATTTAGAGATTTCACAATTCAGATCTGTAGGAACTGATTCCTACTTTGGAATCAACATCACTGATCCGATACCATTTTCAACCACATCAACCGCTGCCATCACGTACCTGGCAACTGGGACGGAAGTCAAGTCACTATTTGAGGGTCGTAGGCTGATGTCTCTAATTCATGTGAATCTCGAGCCAGCTTCACAAAGCGTTTATGATGTTCGTAGGGCTACTAACTGTGCTAAAGTATAGGTGTGACGATGTTCGTAGAGCTACGACTGTCGTTAGCCTGTGCTAAAGTATAGGGGGATACGATGTTCGTAGAGCTACGACTGTCGTGAGCCTGCGCTAAAGTATAGGGGTGACGATGTGCGTAGTGCTACGACTGTCGTTAGCCTGTGCTTAAGTATAGGGGTGGCGATGTGCGTAGCGCTACGACTGTCGTAAGCCTGTGCTAAAGTATAGGGGTTACGATGTGCGTAGCGCTACGGCTGTCGTTAGCCTGTCCTAAAGTATAGGGGTGACGATGTATGGAGCGCTACGACTGTCGTAAGTCTGTTCTTAAGTATAGGGGGTGACGATGTATGTAGCGCTACGACTGTCGTAAGCCTGTCCTAAAGTATAGGGGATACGATGTTCGTAGCGCTACGATCACTAACGACAGCGAAACCTATCACCTAAGTGGTCAGCTACGGTAGATATTCTGCGAAACCCTGTTCTGTGAGCCACTCTTTGATGTCGTCACCGTTGGTCTCCAGCCAATCCAAATTAGCCTGCGTTCCCTTAATGGCCTCCTGAAATGTTGTCTGATACTCCACTGCCATGGTGGTGTTGGCAAATGACTGCAGCTGAAATAAACAACAAAGATACCTTTTACAACAGCACTTGACTTAGGTCATGGGACATTTATAGACTTACAAATGAATCAGACTTGTCGAAAGTTGACCACTGGACATTGTTCCCAGAATTTATTTAGAAATACATTTTTGAAAAATGCATTTGAAATATGTAAGACAATTTCTGAACGTTTTGCCCCATGTACCTATGAAGCTTTCAGCATCAAACGAACTGCTACAAACCTACCTCGTTCAAAAGGTATTCCATGTTATAAGCAGATGCTATACTCCTTATCAGCGAACCTAGTCGGAGTTGGCCGTGTCTTCAATTAAAAGAAATATAATATTAGTTTACTGTAATACACATTTTGTGATATTGCTGGAATATTGACTTTTAGTTTGCTAAACGCGGCATAAAACCCAGCTCACTCACTCACTATTACCGCTGTGATTATGTGGTGGGCTAGAGACTTCATCAGTAAACATGAACTGGGATGTGCCGGATGCCACAGAAGGTGTCCTCAGTGTGGTACTTACTTGTCATGTAGAGTCAGGAAGTTGTTCTTAAGGAAGTTCCAGGTTATATCCCTGGCTGCCGCATTGCCGGAAACGCTGTATATGTTGAAAAACGCATCCGAGGAGTGGAAGGTAGTATTGTCCAATGACATGTCTAGCAGCCTGAAAAGAAACTTGCAAAGATGAACAAACCATCATCGCCGTTGTTGTCATCGTTATCATCATCATCATCATCATCATCATCATCATCATCATCATCATCGACAACAAACCATCGCCGTAGTCAACATCACAATCAACGTCATTATCATCATCATCATCAACAACAACAACAAAATCATCGCCGTCGTCATCATCATCAGCGCCACCACCACCACCATCATCATCATCATCAACAAAAACAACAACACAATCATCATCGTCATCATCAGCAATTACGATAACAACAGCAAAGTCAAATATGTTATGCTTGACTACGTGGACTTTGCAGTTGCAAGAGATTCGCATCATCAACCAGAAACCCGAGTGAGTTGAAATCTCGTAATCAACAAACTTTAGTTAGTGAGTGAGTTGATGTGGTATTATTTCAGCCATATCGTGACGAAAACCAATTTGTCATTTTCAAAAAAAACCTGTCGCCAAAGGACATTAAAACAACTAGAGTATCACAGTTAGAATTGAAACTATGTAATGTTAAAACTAATAGCACTATTCAGATAATAGGTGATATAAAAAAGGCTATAGATCGCAAACAAGTGAATCAACAAACTTGAAAGACTTTGGTCTGATTCATAAACTGTAAATATGTTTGCATACGACTATTTGGTTGTTGTTAAAATTGGATTTTGTTAAAATTGTAAATGATATTGTTATAACTCATGGTTTAAATTATGTGACCTGCATCCCGTCTAGCTTTCTTCCAACATTAAGAGTGAGTGAGTGAGTTAAGTTTTACGCCACACTCAGCTGTATTCGATCTATATGGCGGCTAGGGCTGCGCAATATAACCGGTTTACCGGTATTTACCGGTTCAGACATACATATACGTATTGCGATACGCTGATCGAAAACCGGTATTTTAACATGCGTTCGGAAAACTTCGTAACACTCGGAAATCTTCGGATATTTCCGGTTTTTTTCAAATCTTCCTTTCCTTTTTTTCCTTTTTTGTGCCTAATATTATTTACATTTTTATTTTGTCATGATTAAAACTTTTTATTAAAGCTTAATCCAGCATAATGATTATTGTGTGTTTTTGCTATATAAATCAAGCATTATTCGATTATAGTTTTTTGTTAAAAAAGAACTTCTTGCAATATATTGCAATACATATCGTAATATATGTTTTCGCATCGCAATATATCGCAATATGAAAATTCTCTGCAATACCCAACCCTAATGGCGGCGGTCTGTAAATAATCGAGTCTGGACCAGACAATCCAGTGATCAACAGCATGAGCATCGATCTACGTAACTGTCATACGATGACATGTGTCAACCAAGCCAGCGAGCCAGACCACCCGATCCCGTTAGTGGGCTCTTACTACAAGCATGGGTTACTGAACATCAACTCTAATCCGGATCTTCACGGGTCTCTCCAACATTATGAGGAGCGGTCGGGTGGCCTAGTGGTTAAAGCGTTAGTCTTCACGCCGAAGGCCCGGGTTCGATTCCCAACGTGAGTACAATGGGTGAACCTACTTTCTGGTGTCCCCCGCTATGATATTGCTGGAATATTGCTAAAAGTGGCGTAAAAGCATACCCACTCACTCACCCTTGACTATTTGAGTTTACTGTAAACAATTAACAGCCTCTTGGATAATAGTTATAAACAAGGCGTATGTAAACTCAAAACATATTCGATCCTTTCACCGAAGTACTTGAAATCCAAATGTTTGTCGTATTTTCGCACGCACGCACGCACGCACGCACGCACGCACGCACGCACGCACGCACGCACGCACGCACACACACACACACACCGTTCATGGATGGGGGCACGAGGTTTTTTCAGCAGGTTACAGAAAGGTGAAAGTGGTGACGAATGTGAAAGGGCAACGTATCTGCTTTCAAGTTACGCATGTGCGAGTGCTTATGAATGTGATAAGGGACGCATCATTTATCTTCTTCCAGATTACGGAAATGGAGAGTAGTGTGTGTGTGTGTGTGTGTGTGTGTGTGTGTGTGTGTGTGTGTGTGTGTGTGTGTGTGTGTGTGTGCGTGTGTGTGTACGTGTGTACGTGTGTGCGTGTGCGTGCGTGTGCGTGCGTGCGCGTGTGTGTGATGCCTCTTCTTGCAAGTTACGGAAAAGGCGATTGGAGACAAATGCGATAAGGCGACAAATCTCTTTGCAGGTTACGGAAAGGTGCGAGTGGTGAAGAATGTGTACGACCATCACCTTTGTAAAAGCCACGGCTGTGTCGTACAGGAGAGAGCGTTGAACCAGTAGAAGCTGTCGTCTCCTGTAGGATCCTCGGACTTGTATTGGTTGTAAGCAAAGTTCCATTCTGCCATTCCCCCGTATCGTATAGCGTTACAGGGGACAACTCTCTTGAGGTCAGGGTTGATCCTAAAACAGAGGGAGTGAATTAGTGAATATCTCCTTATTGTTTGTTTGTCTGCTTATCTGTGAGTGAGTTTAGTTTTACGCCGCACTCAGCAATATTCCAGCCATATGGCGGCGGTCTGCAAATAATAGAGTCTGGACCAGACAATCCAGTGATTGAAATTCTGAGCATCGATCCACGCTATCAATGTATGATGGCACACGTAAACTACGTCACCGCTCGATACCGTTAACGAGTGATTGATATTGCGAGCAGAGCCCAGCTGCAGGAACAGACAAATCAGCCATGTCGCACTCTCCGACTTGTTAAGGTATAATACACTTCATGCAAGATTATGGCCTGATAAAAATGTTCATCACATTAGCAGCTTAATGATAAAACCCATGTCATGCCGACATTATTTTATTCTCATCTATTTTAGTAATCTTTTGCTTAGTCTCTACATTCAAATTTCGGGCAAGTGAAATATTTTGTGGAGTAGTAACTTTTTGACATAACTGGCCCGACTGGCTAGCAAAATGTAGAAACGATTTCGCACACTGTTTCATTTATCATAATTCTAAATCCAATTTAACTGCACTGTACCCCCAATACATGATACATGTGTCTGTACCTCTTTGGGCCTGTGGCCTTTATAGCTGAACTCTTTACTCTTCTCATAGACGTTTAATTTATTTCTGTAAAATTGTTAAGTCTACCTGTTATTGACTGGGTCTTTCATCATCTCCCGATACAGCCTCAAAACATCGTCCGCGCATTCCTGCAGTCCATATCCGCAGGCATAGTTGAGACCGCGAGTTATCTGGAATCTGTACACGTGTGTATGTTGATACATAGTGATGAAGAGGTATTGTAACATGAAAATACTCGGAATTGTCAATTTTGAACTCACTTCTCAATTAAACTGCATATCGATTTATCATTGCGGAATAGCGAATACAGTCGACTACAGTTATTATAAACATAAATGGACCTCTATATGTTTTCTTTGTCGAAGCCATTACAACCATTTCAACTAAAATATACATCAATCGACCAGGACAAAATAGTTCCTTTCCATTTCTGTCAGTGCTGGAATGGGTACAATGTGTGAAGACCGGCGTAAAACGTTACTCACTCACTCTTCGACCAATTCAAACCGGAAAACCGCCCAACGTTGCTTAACTTCAAGTAATTTGTGACCTGAGCTCTATGCTGACGATGTGTACATAAACAGGCTACCATTCCATTTGTGGTTGCCATTTATGTGCGCCTATAAGGGGGTTAATTTAATACATATCTCTGACCACGGAGACACGACTGCTACTTACACGTCTATTGGAAGAGTATCAGCTTGTATGTTCATCCTGTAGTGGTTGTAGGTCTTGTTGGCGCTGACCTTCATGAATTCCTGAAATATAAACAGTTTTACATTATTATCTATCAACAATGAGTGAACACAACTGTACTATTACGCTTACGACCCGTGAAGATCCGGGTTAGAACTAATCTTTAAAGCCCAAGGGGCGATCTACGTGATCAGGTGGTTGATACATGTCATGGCATCCCAATAGGCCCCACCCCACCCACCAGACCCACCCCCAAATAACAAACAAACAAACAAACCAAAAATACAACAACAAAACAAGAAAACAAAACTGAAAAAACACTATAAAATTGAAACGGAATATCCCGAATAGATGCTACTTTAATTAAATGTCATTATATCAGTCAACATATCAGTACTCAGATCCGTGGACGGGTAGGGGAACACCTTTGACTTCTCGTCATACCAGTATTATACGGTATTTTAGTACACGTACCATATAGGCGCCGTAGTATTCACTACCTTGCAAAGCTCTGGCGAGGATGTAGGAATGTTGTGACAACGCATGCCAAGAGACATAGTCGACGTCGTTTTTGAGGAAATTCAAAGTACGAATGGCAATCCTCAGCTTCACGACACCGGCTCTGAAAGTTTAAAGAGATATTTATGTACACGTGCAGATTGTTAGGCGGTGGGCGGTCATGCGCCCGTAAGTAGGTCACGGCACTTCGCGAGACCTTAGTACTTCCGGTGACAAACAACATTTCATACCTTTTGGAATTGTCTCTTGGTTGTCAGTTGACTGTAAGGAACGGAGAATCCTTGCAGGAATAACACATGCACATGTTTTATCTAACCATTCCCAAATGAGCAAACTATTACGATTGTCAACAGTTGTGACAACCAAGCATGGCTGTACACTTGGCCCGGTCTAGTAAGGTCATATTTAGCGGTCGCGCAATTTGGAACCAGAATGGGTTCTTGAATATACGCTCGTCATCTGAAATCTGGCACCGGAAGTAAGCTGGGCCCCTTCTCACATATCACAAGTTGGTGCATGCAAAGGGAGCCAGGAACCAACTTAGTACCGGAATGTTACTTACTCTTGAAGTGTCCATGCATCGTTTATGATCTGTGCGCGGGTCGCTGGTGGAAACACCTGGGAATAAGATAATTGTAGAAATGAATTAGTTAGAAAAAAAACCCTGAAAACGAATGCAGCATGAACGATAGAAAGGTCGGAGCATATGCAGAAGAATAGAATACATTTCTCCCTTCCTGAAACATTTTTACAGCCATGAAACATTCTTCCAGCACCGAAACAAACTTCCTTCCCGAAAACATTTTTACAGCCTTTAGATATATATCCTGTCATTCTCCTAACATTCTTCTCAAGGCAACATTCCTACTGCTTTGAAATATTCTTCCAGACCTAATTACTCTTCCACCGCTGGAACTATTCTTCCAGACCTAATTACTCTTCCACCTCTGGAACTATTCTTCCAGACCTAATTACTCTTCCACCTCTGGAACTATTCTTCCAGGCCTCAAACTTTCTTGCTGTTCTCAAACAGTCCTCATGTTCACAGCGAGGTAAGACTGCAGCACATACCGTGTGGTCTGTCTCTAGTTGTTTAATTAGGGCCATCCAGTTTCTCTCCTCGTAGTTAACCCTGTAGAAACCGGACTGCTGCCCATTCACGACAACCCACGAGTTCTCCTGTGAAGGGTTGGGGATAATAGGGTCGCTGATGTCTTCTGTTGAGAAATACAACAAGAACAGTTTACCTCTCTGTATAGATACGATAACCAACGTTCCGGATGATTTGACTGACTAAGTTGTATTTTTTAGCATTATTCCAGCAATATCACGGCCGGGGACACCAGTAATGGGCTTCACACTTTGTACCCATGTGAAGAAACGAGCGGACGCTTTAACCTGTCTCACCTTACCGCCAATGTGCTGGTGTTTCAATGTGAGTTGAATCGTATGCCTACATTGTTGTCGCCTAATGGACAGTCACACCCCAATTGAAAGCCCAGCCCAGCCCAGCCCAGACCAGACCAGTCCAGACCAGAACTTTCCCGGCATTTCATCCGAAAGTGGGAGCCTAACCGGAAGTGACGTTGCAAAAGCTAAAATGAGGATGCTAAAACCGAAATGACGCGGCAAAGCCCGAACTGATGTGAACGATGCTTTCGTAAAGCCTGCCCTTCTCGGCTACCTGCATCGCCACAACTATGAAATATTTTACTACTCAAACCGGAAACGGCTAATGGACACAACTCATGACAAGATAATATGACATCATATATTCAGTATGGAATCTACTTACTCTCTTCTTCTGTCGTAGCCAACCATGCAATGTCGTTGTAGCTGTACACATTGTTGAGGTTGCTGTTGTTCTTGCTGGAGGCGATTGTGATAGGGATTGTCCATTTGTAGCTGTAAAGTAGAACATTCACGTGAGGGAAATATATTTATCTGCACTTGATGGCGGTCAGGAGGATGGTGACATTTGGCGTGAAGGTGTGCAGGTGGGCGGACATATACCCATATGAGTGAGTGAGTGACCGGAGTTCTGACAAACAGCACTGTTACAAATTGTGAGCCAGCGGAATGGAACTTTTCATACATCCAGAACCTATGTTCGGACGAGCCGATGGGGTACCCATGTGGTTAAAGCGATCCAACGCAGATAGCCCAAGTTCGATTCCTCAAAATAGGTACAATGTTTAAATATTGCTAAACGCAGCATAAATCTCAGTCACTATGCTCGTACCGACAACTCTCTTTTCTGGTTTTCTTACACCCAGAGGTATGTCTGCATCAAATACATCACAGTTTGTCTTGCCCAGATTGTTTACTTGTTGATGTAATGGAGTTTGGAATAAACAACATTGAACACAAACAGCTAAACAGAAAATACCACCATATTTACCCAAAGGGAGCGGTGTCCCCGGTAGTGTTGGAGCTCATGTTGTTGAGGAACCGTTCCTGGCGGACATTGATGGTTCCAGGACCTGTGACCTTGACAGTGACCAGAGGATAGTTCATCTGAGTGACCCAGGGTTCAAAGATCTCTGTCATGTTGATAGGGGTGCCTTCAGCTTCAGATTGCTGTGTATTCAAAAGACCAAATACAATATAGAACAAACTTTATGGATAACAACTTCTTTTTATTCGTGAGTGCGACGTTCGATACAGATTCTTGTACCGTTGTCAAGCATAATGGAACATGAAGAAGGGGGAAGTGTATATATACTGGATGTAACAATGTAACAAAGAAAACAACATAATTGGCTAGGCAGAAAGCTGATGAAGCCAGAGAGTAGACAAAGGACAGGTCAACCAAGTCAGTGAGTCTGACCACCCGATCCCGTTAGTCGCCCCTCACGACAAGCATGGGTTGTTGAAGACCAATTCTAATCCGGATCTTCATAATTATCGAAGAGCTTGTTACGCTGACGTACCTCTGTCAGAGCGTTGAATAGGTCCTTATGCTCTGCAACGCCGTACTGATGTCTCTTCAAATACCGCTGAAACAGAAATGAGTAATTTTCTTGTGAAAGAAAAGGGTGGATCATTTCTTGCACCATTTTTGATTGTACGTGTATCATATTGCCAATCCAAACTAACACATAGCCTGGTCGTAAGATGATCGTAACTCCTAGTGAACTACGACTGACGTAAAGTTACGAACGATTGTGTCGCCACAACATTAAATGTGTTCCGAACTGAGATTGGCGACCTTTTCTTCTCGGAACTACGGAACTGCTTATTGTGCGTATGGGAACATGCTGTTTATGTACCTTTATATTTATATTTTACCTGTGTATATGAGTAAACTTGGTGGGGCGGCGGGGAAGGGTAGCCTAGTGGATAAAGTGTTCGCACGTCACACCAAATACCCGATTTCCCATATGGGTACAGTCTGTGAAGTCCAGTTCTGGTGTCCCCTGCCGTGATATTGTTGGAATATTGTATTTATATTTCATCTTGGTGGGTCGGTTAGATTTTTAAAATATTGTTTTTTGAGATGACCCCCGACTCGAAATGCTTTACAGTACTTATACATCATGATAATGTATATGTACTGTGCAGCGTTTCGAGTCGGGGGTAATCTCAATGTTTTATATATATTTTTTAAATCTTTAATCCTCGCAAGGACACAAGGGCCTGTGGGGGCGGGGGGTAGCCTAGTGGTTAAAGAGTTCGTCCAATTCCCCAAAAGGTTCTGGTGTCCCCTGCCGTGATATTGTTGGAATATTGCTAGCAGCGACGTAAAACCATAGTCACTCACTCACTCACTATAAACTTGGTCTCGTTGTTACATTTTAAATCACTCACTCCATTTAAGTCATACTTACATTGAGCCCTCTGATGAAAAGATCGTGTCCCATGACGAAGTGCATCATTCGAACCACACAAGCTCCCTGCAAGTTAAAGAAAAACGTTTTATTTGCAATTTACATAATCAGTAAGTCCGTTGTAGTTCTTTGTATGTATTTGAATGAAAATTAGCATCGTCAGCTTTATGTAATAATATTGGTTAGTATACGACATCAAACAAAATGGCACTTGGGGCTAGTCAAACCAAACCGCACACGCACGCAAACACACAAGAACACACACGATTTATCCAGTAAACTAGGCCCAGAACTCCGATCTACAAAGCTTTCATAACGTTACAACCTCTCTCTATACTAATAAAGTAACTCTATACTTTAGATAGGCTTAAGAATGGTGTAGTGCTACGAACGGTTGTCGCAGATCAAGCACAGTGGCACTTGGGACAAGTCAAAACAAACCGCACACGCACGCTAACACACACGAACACGCTAACGGTGCAAACTAGGTTTATTACGAACACGCCTAAAACGAACTATCTATTGGTCCAGGGTCCCGACCCACAAAGCGTTAGTCACGTTACGACATATCGTAACTACTTCATCATAGGCTTGAGAATAACGGACGCTTTGTGGATCGAGACCCTGGCAACTTGCTGTGTATTTTAGTCGAAACTCGTATTACGAACTATCTTTAGTGATCCCTTAGAGTTCGAGATAACCGTAGCTTACTGTAACTTGATGTGATCTTGAACGCGACGTTAAACCTCACTTCAACCTTCGCATCCTGCTCACTCTCTCACTCACTAACTCGTACCTTGCGGTATGTAATTGTGTCGAAAGAGCGCTCCACTTCAGCGTTACTCTCGACGTCGTTCGTCATTGGGTGCGACGTCTGCATACCGTCTATGTACATCGCAAAATACATCGACTGCACTATAAACTGCTCCATCTGAAGAGAGGAAGAAAATGTTGCAAGCTTGTTGGTTCTTTTGTTTTTGTTTTTACCATACTCATTTTTTCTTTGTTAGTTGTTTAACACCGCACTCAGCAATATTCCAGCTGTATGATGGCGGTCTGTAATTAATCAAGTTTGGACCAGACAATCCAGTGATCAACAGCATGAGCCTCGATCTACACAATTGGGATACGATGACATGTGTTAACCAAGTCAGCGCGTCTGGCCACTCGATCCCGTTAGTCGACTCTTACGACAAGCATTGGTTACTGAAGATCAGTTCTAAACCAGATCTCCATGGGTTTATATTGTAGTTGTATGACAATGGCTTGTACATAATCACGTCTCGACCAGACAGGCCTGTGATGGAAAGTGTCAACAACGAACCAACCACCTGACTTCTATGTGTTCAGCTGTCTTTTACGATCTGCATAGGAGTAATATTCTTACCTTGAATCAGAAAGGGTACAAATTAAAAGGACCAATGTGATTATTGAGAAACTCACCGACCTTCTAGCTGGATAGACTGTGCCCACCACAAACATGTCCCAGAAGGAGGCAAAACCCTCGTTTAGCCAGAGCCAGGACCACCACTTGGGTGACACAATGTTGCCGAACCACTGCAACACACCGACACTTTAATGCTAGTACGATACACGGTGATACACTCTACCTTACCAGTCAACAGTCAGTTATTGCAACATTCAGACAGCAATGTTCAGTTATTGCAACATTCAGATATATTCAAGGATAGCACATGAATAAACACGATACACTATACCGTACCAGTCAACAGTCAGTTATTGCAACATTCAGACAGCAATTTTCTTGCATAGTCCATGAGTAAACACGATACACTATACCTTACCAGTCAACAGTCAGTTATTGCAACATTCAGACGGCAATGTTCTAGTATACCACATGAATAAACACGATACACTCTACCTTACCAGTCAACAGTCAGTTATTGCAACATTCAGACATCATTGTTCAAGTATACCACATGAATAAATACGATACACTATACCTTACCAGTCAGCAGTCAGTTATTGCAACATTCAGACAGCAATGTTCAAGTATACCACATGAATAAACACAATACACTCTACCTTACCAGTCAACAGTCAGTTATTGCAACATTCAGACATCATTGTTCTAGTATACTAGTTAAACAAAACATTGTAGCTCAACCAGTGTGTATATTCTAGCAGTTCTATTTTTATTTGTTGGGTGTTTTCTTTGTGGATTGGGGTTTGGGGCCCAAGTATATTTTTTTTATCTTATTCGCTGATTAATAGATGATGCCCAGAGTTGCACCTGCTCATGATCAGAATATTTTAAAAAATTCAATCCCTGAATCACGAAGCCGCTCAACAGACTTTTAACTCATCATGGATATGGTTTAACACGATTGTCCTCTCCGGAAGATTCCCGATGCCAACTGCCATCGATCCCAACCAAGAGAAGCACGTGCATCTACTTTTTTCCCGCGAGTGGATGAGCTTGCGGTCGTTAGGCCAGATCATTTTTCGCTTTTAGCAATGTCCCAGCAATATCAGGGCGGGGGACACCGCAAATTGGCTACACACTTTGTACCCTTGTGGGGAATCGAACCCTGGTCTTCGGTTTGACTAGCGAACGCTTTAACAACTAGGCTACCCCACCGTCCCCATATTATTGCTGAGAAAATATAGTTGTGTACCAAATTGTATTACGTTATTATCCCTTTTTATCAATTCTCGATTGCTCTGTTCAAAAATTAAAAACGACACATCATCGCAAATGTTGATTGGGCTTGGAAAGCGTTATCATTCACTTTTGACAAACCTGTTATTTCACATTTTCCAAAACATAACGATCTAAACAAATTAAAAAACCCCCATTACAATAAGTTTTTAAAAAGCATTTTAATACTTTCGAGGAAATTGTTACCTGGTGAGATATCTCATGCGAGATCACCTCGGCAACCCAGCTGTCTTGAGACGCGGTGGACACGCCCTCTTCGTAAAGAAGGCGTTCCCTGTACGTGACGAGGCCCCAGTTTTCCATGGCGCCGGACACGAAATTGGGGATGGCGATGTTATCTGTACAGACGCTGTAACTTTTATCGATGCTTGAATACATATATGTGTTATGAATTTTGTAATGTTACATATTGGTCAATAGAAACATGTATGGACAAAACACCTGACAAAAATATATCAAAATATATTTAATACTCAAAACTCAATGATAAGTCAAAACTCATAAATTCAACAGGAATTAGTACATACAAATGAAACAAGACACACAATGAACAAAGACGAAAGTCAGTAAAGATACATAAATACACCAACACACATCTATTCACATACACAGATGCTTAGCGACAAACAACAGCAAGGACACACAAACTCACTAAAACACACAAATACAGAAAGAAGCCAAACATTCTTAATGACACAAATCTATCATGATACACAAATGCAGACAAATGCAGAAAAAGCTGGAATCCATAATAACAACACGTGCACAGAAACAGCAATCCATAAGTCACACATAAGCGCAAAAACGGTAATAATTATGAAAAAAAACCCCAGAAATCCATAATAAAACCAATATGCCCCAAAACAGAAATTCATAGAACAACAAATGCACAGAAACGGTAATTACGCACCAAAACAGAAATCTATAACAGCAATAAAATGCTCCAGAACACAAATCCATGAGACACACATATGCACAAAAACAGAAATCCGTAAGACACATAAATCCAAAAGAGGCGGATGAACAAATGCCCAAAGCAGAAATACACAAACACAAAAATCCTCAAAGACACAGACCCACCCACAAAGACAAATCCTCAAAGACACAGACCCACCCACAAAGACAAATCCTCAAAGACACAGACCCACCCACAAACACAAATCCTCAAAGACACAGAAACACATACCCACAAAGACACAGACCCACCCACAAACACAAATCCTCAAAGACACAGACCCACCCACAAAGACAAATCCTCAAGGACACAAAAAAGCACATAGACACAAAGCGTTACAAACTCACGACAATACCTTCACATGGAATTGACCTCTTTTCGATACGTATCTGAGATAATGACGAAATCCTTTAAGTTGGAAGCAGGTTCCTCAAAAGACTTCACATGTTTAAACTTAGAAAAACGGGGTTACAATCCAATTGTCACTATATATATGAGAATACCAGTTTCTCAACACAAGACGATGAATGTTTGCCTCAAAATAAACCATACGATTTTCAAAAAACGTTAAACTTACTTACGAAAACAATAACAAGCCTGGTGTATCGAGATCATTTAAAAAAAAACGACTAACGACTAAAGGTGAGGTGAAATTGGGTTTTACGTCGTGCTTGAGAATATTTCGCTCATATGACGACGTGCATGCGTGTGTATATGTATGTGCCGCTGCTTGTACTAGCCCAGACTTAAGCTGGTTCTATAATGCTAGGCCACTGAGATACCATGCCGCAGTGAAGCATGAATACCCCACTCAGACACACTTGTTATACTGACTCCGAGCCGACCAGCACTTGTTGTACCCATTAATGCTGAGCGCCAGGCAGGGACCAACAAGTACCATATTTTAACGTCTTTTGGTTTGACGCGGTCGGGGATCGAACCCGCGACCTTCCGCTCTCCGGGCGGACGCTCTAACCACAACACCACGGAGGCGGTCCTAACGACTAAAGAGTTTTGATGTTGACTTATAAAATACTATAGATACCGTACTCAAATGCAACGTCATCATCAACTCACGTAAATCCACATTAAGGACTCTTATTGTTTCTTTATGGAATACATGGCATGAGTGAACTCGTCTACATACCAAGTTTGGTGATGGGATAGTCAGGGTCGAAGGTCTTCTCGTACCAGTCGAACAAATCCATGCCATACTCCTGGGCCCGACCGGCGTGTTGTATTGCATTAGGACGTGCCAGCGTCCGGTACTGCAACGACATAGAATACAGCATCATCATCAGCATTATCAGCAACATCATTGTCGTCGTCAGTATTATCTTCATCCTCATCATCATCTTCATCATCATCATCAACAACAACAACAACAACAACAATCATATCATATCATTATCACTTACGACGTCATCGTCGTTGTCATCACGGTTGTTGCTCCTGTTATTTGCTAGTACTACATACCATTATAATCATGTTTTGTTTCCATCGTCATTGTTGTTGTTATCATCTTCGCCATCATCAACAACGTCCCGATCATCAACATTGTCGTGATAACAAAATTTACATTTCATACTTGCAAAGCGGGTAAATATTTGTAAATTTACAAGAATTTTTCAAGTTAATTCAATTTCTCCTTTTCCTATGTATCCCCGATTTAATTTCTCCGATGTCTCAACTATTTCAGGCATTTCTTCTTCTATTTGCATCACCTCACAAAACCGCAATCGACACTCATCAACGCATGACTAATGTCTATAGGAAGTAGCCCTCAGTATCACACTGTGGCAAAATGGGCTGTTGAGCTTAAGCGTGTACAGTGCAACACAAAGCTTGCTAAGAAACCTTTAAAAGAATACAGGAATCACTCGCACTTCTATGTGTGTTCATAACATACGGTACAAACTGTTTTGTGCTAACCGTGTCTGCCAAGATGCATTAAGGTTGTCGTAATGTCAGAGTAGATATAAACTACGTCTTGACAAACTCTTAAAGGGGTGCTACGACGGATAGTCAAAGGCTGGACACCGGATCCTTAACAGGTTACAGTAGAACTCTCTTCATCACATATTACACGAAGTAATGTTAAAACATCCAGATGCCTGTTTAAAATCCCATCGACGATTGTGTAATTATAAATAGACAAAAACTCGTGACTGTACCGTTATGTTTGAGGTTGTGTTTTTCCAGCTGGTCGAAGTCACAAATGATGAAGGCGAGGAGGTATGTGGACATTACCGGCGTCGTTGCAAAGGTATCAGCTGTATAGTTGCCCCTGTAATGGAAAACATGCAAAAGTTTATGCAAACGTTCAAAACGACGACGTCACGACGGATAATATGCCTATGATAAGAGAGCTCACCTGATCTCATTGGACACGACTTCTGTATTAGACAGTGTCCGGTAGTTCCGTCCAGTGGTCGTCTTCCTGACCAGGGTAATGTCAAAGGTCGCCTTCAGAGCCGGTTCATCAAAGCACGGGAACGCATTCCTCGCATGAGGTGCCTCGAACTGGGTGGATGCTAAGTAACTGTGAGATAAAGAAATATTATCATTACAAATCCCAGGAGGGACAATTGAGATCAACACAACATGAGATCACAAATTATGACATTTTCAAGAATATATATATTACACAGCACTAAAAAACAGGATTCAGCGATAATTTTCAAAGCAATTTTAAATTCTTATTTCACTTATTTGGCAAAAAGAATGACTAAGAACTCAGTTTAGCATTTCTTTCTTACATGGTTTCATTCGTGTCCGTCTTGTAGGAACTGAGATACAGACCCTTCCCGTCGGTTCTCATTTTGGCGTGAAAACTCATCCCGACTACATATGATCTTCCGGGTTGAAGGTCATTATCAAGGTGAAGGACGTAAAATTCCCTGACCTCATCGTAACTTGTGCTGACAATAGACGGACCCCTGTCGCTCTGGTTGTCAATAGGCCGCAGGGATAAAGAATCATTATTGATCATGAGATCTTTCTTGTGCAAGGTCACGTTAGACGCTGCTTGCGTTACATTGATGACGATAGAAACTGTCCCGCTAAAAGTGAATAGAGACGAGTTATCGCCGTATATCTCAGGTTGGAGTTCAAGGACGTAGTGGAAAGGTTTGACAGCTGTAGGGAGGCGGTAGTTGATGACGGGGGCTGGTGTTGTAATTGTTGTGGTTGCTGTAGTTGTCATCGTTGCTGTTGTAGTGGCTGTTGCTGCTGTTGTTTTCTTTGAGCATGCACCACCTGATTGAAGTCATGCAGATATTAGTACCTCCAATGTGGTTATGAACTTCATATTTTTCAAATTCATGTTCCCAGTTTTCAGAAGAAAAATACAATCAGTAACATCTGCAAAATTTCAACAAATATTTATATTATCTTAGAAATACACGTTTTGCTATTAGATAATCTCATAATATTAGCGCAAGATTACATGTCTTTAATCTTTACCTAAACAAAACCAAGAACAACTTACAAACTTTACGATCACCGTATCCTGCTAGCTCCATACAGCGTGCCCGGAGCTCCTCCCGGCCGAGTGGAGGAGTCGCCAGTGTGGGCGTTTCACACTTGCAGACAACCTGACCTGGTGATACCAGGTGCACGACGAGCCCTACCAACACGGCCAGACAGACAGCAAGAAGGACCAGGACGAACGCCGCCCCATGGCTAATGTGAACTCCGCCGCTGCGCTTCTCCCCTGGCATTGCAGCGGTACCGTTGAGATCGGACAGTTTATATTCCCCCCATGGCCGCAGGGTTTTAGCTGGGGACAAACAGCAAAGCCTGATTAAAAAATAGTAAATGTCGAACACTGGTTCGAACACTCGAACACCAACGGATCTTTGTTAAACTTCAGTATGTCTAAATTGTATTAGATATGCTGAAGTACAGTAAGATGATACAAACTACAGATATATCGCACACGGAATAACCGGATAACTTGAACTTTTGTAAGCATAACCAACTCGGATATTTGATCCTACATTTACGGATATGTCGAACTCTTATTAGAATATACACTTCAGATTTCTTTAAAAAAATTGATGATAAAATTTACAATTTTGTAAAATTCATATTTACTTTTAAAAAAATTACATATTTTGTCAAGTTCATCTTTACAAAGTTTGTAAATGTTTGTAAATTAAGAAGGATTTCACCACTACTTCCACTTTCTCCATGAACCCTCTGTTTTGATCTCTCTGATATCAATGTCAGGAGGAGAGTGTAGACTTAACTATTTCAAGCATCTCTTGCTCTGTTTGCGTGGAAATACAAAACCAAGTTGATATCATATTGCAGAAATACATATTGCTTCTTGCAATGTGATTTGACACTGCCTGTGAAATGAACTATGTTATATTATAGTATGGCTAGCATGTTCCACACTACCGTTGCATGTGTGCATTATAGTTGTTATCCCCTAAACCACACGTCACCAGTCACAGTCATCAACATCAGCATACCATACATCGATACAATATATACCAGTCAAGATGTCATTTAAATATATACCTGTCAAGATGTCATGTAAATATATACCTGTCAAGATGTCATGTAAATACATACCAGTCAAGATGTCATTTAAATATATACCTGTCAAGATGTCAACTAAATATATACCAGACAAGAAGTCATGTAAATATACACCAATCAAGAAGTCATGTAACAATATACCAGTCAAGATGTCATGTAAATATATACTATTTAAGAAGTCATGTAAATACATACCAGTCAAGATATCATGTAAATATATACCTGTCAAGATGTCATGTAAATATATACCTGTCAAGATGTCATGTAAATACATACCAGTCAAGATGTCATTTAAATATATACCTGTCAAGATGTCAACTAAATATATACCAGACAAGAAGTCATGTAAATATACACCAATCAAGAAGTCATGTAACAATATACCAGTCAAGATGTCATGTAAATATATACTATTTAAGAAGTCATGTAAATACATACCAGTCAAGATATCATGTAAATATATACCAGTCAAGAAGTCATGTAAATATACACCAATCAAGGAGTCATGTAAATATATACCAGTCAAGAAGTCATGGAAATATATACTAGTCAAGAAGTCATGTAATTATATACCTGTGAAGAAGTCATGTAAATATATACCAGTCAAGAAGACATGTCAATATGTACTAGTGAAAATAACATGTCAATATGTACCAGTCAAGAAGTCATGGAAATATATACCAGTCAAGAAGTCATGGAAATATATACCAGTCAAGAAGTCATGTAATTATATACATGTCAGGAAGTCATGGAAATATATACCAGTCAAGAAGTCATGTAAATATGTACTAGTGAAAATAACATGTAAATATGTACCAGTCAAGAGGTCATGGAAATATGTACTAGTGAAGATAACATGTAAATATACACCAGTCAAGAAGTCATGTAAATAAATAATAGTCAAGAAGTCATGTAAATATATACTAGTCACGAAGCCATGTAAATATATACTAGTCAAGATGTCATGTAAATTGGAAGCGTTCACATAACGTTGAAATGCAGAAATAGACATCGTGGTTCAGGCCATTGAAACCACCTGTTTTCACAACATTCAACGCCATTTCAATGAGGAATGAACCAGTTGCACTGTTTGACAGACACAGAATTGGGTCAAATGTTCTTGCACCTCTGAAAGGGCGACTGGGGTAGTCCTGTAGCTCACGTCATATAGAAGACCAGTTGGATTCTCCAGCCGGATTATTTTTAAAGTTTACACATTTTGAAATTGTCATAAATGACATTTGTTACAAATAAACATCACTTAAAGCAGATTTGTTTCTGACTGGGTATCTCGCCAGAAAGGAACTTCACTCATTGTGCCCATGTAGGGAACTGAACCCGGGTCTTCGGCGTGACGATCCAACGCCTTCACCACTAGGCTACCCCGCCACCCCTTAAAATAAAAATACATACAGACAATATACTTCTCAACCGAAATACATCGTAAGCTATGCATTAAAATATTCTCTTCTAGCCTTCTAGACAACCAACCTTACTGCGATTCTGTCGTCCAACTGCCCAAATACACCACGAACAATCTTCATACCTCCCTATACAACTCACGTGATCAAATCCTGGGCATGCGCATGGTTTTATGACTTGTGCTTTTCAAACAGCAACATAATAACGGGTGAATTTCCTTTAAGACGTTTATACGTCGTGACCAATATATGCGCATATGGGATGGTTTACGGGTATTGAGGCTGTCGGTATGAGGAACGTCGACTCGGGAGCATTCATTCTGTGTCTTGTGTGAAGCACAGTCTCCTGGTCTGCTCCAGGTAAACAACATTCGGTGTAACTATAATGAACCGCAAAAGAAACGTCACACCGAGAGAGGTTTCTTAAAGCACACACTTTTATTCGCTCTGATTAACAATCAAAACGGAGGATTAAGATCAAACTTGACAATTATGGTCAACACATTTTCGGGAATCATATTTAGAGTTCACACAAACAAAATCACCAAACATGGTACCATTGAGATGCCTAAAAGTCAGTATTGTGTGTGAGCTCCATGGGCTTCGATGACGGCGTTGCGTCGTCTGTACATGGAATGAATTAGCCGGTCGATGAAGGCAATAGGCACTTCGGCTCATACTCTGCGAAATGCCTGATCGAGTACAGCCGTAGTTGTCCGCCTTGCTTGGAGGCCATTAAGTCTTCTTTGAATCTCGTCCCAAAGGTGTTTTATTGGACTTAAATCCGGACTGAGTGCAGGCCATTGTAAGGTTTGGATGCCATGTTGTCTTAGGGATTGTGGCCACGAGCTTTGACTTACTGGGAGATGTGATTTCTGTGACGTCCAAAATGTGTCTTATGACTTATGAGTGGGCTGTCACGCCATTTCCTCGTAGCGGGCCGAGATTCTGGAACACCACGGGGCCAACTCTCTGGTTCAGACAGATGATGCTTGGCCCACCCCACGAGTCTCTCTCAACAATACACTCATTGGAAAACCGTTCCCCACGACTCTGAGATCGGCTGTCGAAACACAATATCGGCTTTCATCAGAATAAAGCACAGTTCTCTCGTCACGCCGAGCACCCGGGTTCGACTCCCCACATGGGTATAAAATGTGAAGCTCATTTCTGTCGTCCCCCGCGTGATATTGTTGAATATTGCTAAAAGCGGTGTAAAACTAAACTCACTCACTCACTCGCTAACTACATACTGTGTACCCTTGGTGAGATTTAAACTGACTGACTTTTCACAGTGAATGGCGAAATGCTCTGTCGTCAAAGAAAAGATCTGAGGAAAAGCAAGTATAAATGTTAGCCATCCCCAAAGTCGGGATCATCCCTACAGTCGAAAGGCAACGCAAATAATTCGTGAAGGTCCGGGTTAGAATTGATCTTCAGTAACCCATGCTTGTCGTAAGTGGTGACTAACGGGATCGGGTGGTCAGGCTCGCTGACTTGGTTGACACATGTCATCGTATCACAGCTGTGTAGATCGATGCTCATGCCGTTGATCACACGGTTGCCTGGCCCGGACTCTGTTATTTACAGACCGCCGCCATATAGCAGGAATATATTGCTGAGTGCAGCGTAAAACTAAACTCACTCACTTACTCGTGAGTCTGCACCACGATGTCGCTGTTGAAGTTATTACCGTGCATGCGTGACACAGCAATATTTTGACACTGACATTTGTATATTATTACACATATATTAACTGTCAGTGTTGTGAAACAACTTGCCTGATTTTCGCCATCTCATTCACCTGTCAGACCTGAGTTCAACGTGGGTTTGTTTACGAGGCACGTAAATGCTCTACTTATCCCATATTGAAGCAAATCCTTTGATCTGTATCGGCCAATGTGCCTGCTTGCAGTAGGACAGCCCATTCATACATTTGTTACCTTCCTATACTCAGGCCTGCTAGCTATTCACACCGTTTTGAATAATCCGGGT